AAGTACAACGTAATTCTATATCAAGTAGGTAATGCAACTGTATATTTAAAAAAACGTAATGATGCTACGCGCAGAGCAAAAGTGCAGTAAAAAGTTGTGGCAAAACCGTCGCTGCTTTGACGCGAAAATGTTTAAACTTCGTTGCGTTGTTGTATCATTAACATCCATGTGTGTGTTTAGTAATAAGTTTATTTTTCATATAAATAAGTTTATTTTGCTTGCCAAAAGTTAGTCCCACACTCATGAAAAGTAACGAATATACAACGCTGTCGCAATACGAAATCATATTAGTTTACGAATATCATTTTAGTTTACGTGATTAAATAATATTGAATTAGATGTTGAACTATTAAATTGAATATTAAATTTGAATGTTAAATATTGAATTGAATATTGATAATAACATTTACACGTAATTAAACATTGATAATAACATTTACACGTAATTAAGCATTGTTAGATGAAATAGGTGACTAATTTGCCTTGTTTATTGTAGAACAAAAGCTATCAACCAGGAAACGGCGAGATAAAATTTAATCGGTCCAACCAACGTATCGCCAAACGTTTACATTAGTTTCGTATTTATTTTAATGTCCGCAAATAAATTGTTTTCGTGTCAGTGTCGTTTCCATTTATCTTTTTTTAAATAAATTTTAACGAATTTACTTGCGTGTAAAATTCCGATGCGTAATATTTCACACAAAATTGCCTATTGTGAAAAATGAAAAAAAAAACCGTGAAAAAGAGGCCGGGAAAGGCGGAAGAGAAAGAGCGAAATTCAGTGTCTATCGAAGGGGTCGATTCGTCGAAACAGCCACGCGCTGATAACGTGTTGAATGAATACGACAAGGCAGGAGTCGCGCCCTCCACGATCGGCTTTATCATACATTATACAAACTTTGCTCGTCGCCGCCGTGGCCACCGTCGTCACCGTCGCCACACCTAATCATCGAGTGATAAAACACACCGCAGCAGAACGCAGAATGGTCGTGGTGTCTCTCACCCCGCGTTGCACTGTATGTCGCCATAAATGTCCGCTCGATACGCGCGTAGAATGCGTCAACGGGTTTACATTTCGTTGATGAAAGGCTCTTGCTGGGCCGAGCGCTCTGATGCTCCAACAGATTTGTCGTAAGTTTCCACGAAAGCGTTCGCACGTAATCGGATACCGTAGACTAATCTTATTACGTCAAATGTGTAGGATGAGATGATTAATCGCGTTTTATGAAATATCTCGATGAAGATTTATTTTTTCCCTTCCGTTTATTGCACAACCTTAACTATAACGAGATTAATCACCTTACTCTTTTTTTTTTTTTACGTAAACGATCATCTGAGATGTTTTTGCTCTCCCAATTAAAATCACTATTGCAAAAACATATTGTATATTATTGATTGTTTGATTTATTGGCATTTGAAAACATTATGGTTATATACAGAGAAAAGACTATTCTTAAATCGCTCATACATAAGTAAAAATATTGTAATTTGTTTCATTTGATTTGATTGAATTTGTATTGATGTAAAATTTTTGATTGAGCAAGTTTTGAATTGAGTGCAAAGTAATGCTTGCATTAACACAAATTCAATCAAATCATTAAAATCTTTGAAGAAAGATTATAATATTGCTGTTTATACAATATATGAGTATATTATTGATTGAAAAATAGTCCTTTTTCTGTGTGGATTTAATTACAATTTTCTGAAAAATGTAGAAACACACAAAATATTAAACGGAAACAGAGATATTTTTATCAATTTTTAACAATTGAGTTCATTATGTATCGCATTTCTATTTATAGCACTATTAACAATTTTACTTTCCACTCGCATCTTTACAATTGTGATATTTTTTTAATATTTTAATGTAGTTTTTTTTAGCTTAATTCTCGTTTTTTAATTCTTAACCTGGGAATAGTTAATTAATTTTTTTATGTAAACGATCACCTGAAATGTTTTAACACTCAAATCTTAACTTAAAAATCATTATTATTAATATATTGTATATTATTGATTGTTTTCCGATTTATTATATTTGAGAACGTTTATATGGATATATTTACTCAAAATTTTCTAAAACCGATAAGTAAACGTAAATATTACAAACGGAACAAGCATATGTTAAATATATAACAAAAAAATGAATAATTAAATATATAAAGAAAATGAACCAATCAAAGTTCTTCATTTTCTTCCTTTCCATGAAATAAAGAACTCTGATTGGTTGAATTTCTTATGCATTACGTGTTATGCGTTATGCAAGAGTCTGTGCTCCCCGCTTAATTCTTTGGAACAATTCTTTTTTTTTATAATTAAGTGAAAATTCTTAAACAAATGATAAGAGATTTCTCGACTTGATAAAGAAAAAAATAAGAATTGACATTTATAAATAAATTATCGCGTTGTTTCCAAAGAAGTCAGATTATTTATTTTTTTTTCTGTTTATATTTCATGTTTTGAGTTAATTATATTTAATGTGTCCAATAAAATAATTCATCAGTGAAAGAAATCATTGTTAACATGTAATAAATAAAGTTGGATTTATTCAAAATTATGAGTATGTAACTTTCATATTCTGTTGCTGTTAAAAGAAACGTATATATCATTTTAAATAGAGACATAATTTATAATATTAAGTTATGTTACTTTTGACGGAGCGGAGCAGATATAAAAACATCTCTAATTCTTTTCCTTTATTTCTTTATATATTTCAGCGATTTTGGAGGTTTTATCAAGATTCTGGTGGTATCTCGCCACGTGGAAGCGCAGCCTTCATCGAGACAGAGGGTGCCTTTGTAAAGTACACATCATGTTACAAAGGGCATGTCTGTCAACAGCACACGCGTGCGACTGTGGAGGCCTCATCCTGTTACCAATTCGCATGACATAATGTTTCACAGCAAAATCAAGTTCGGCATTGCATGCCTAATTCGTTGTGACAAAATCGTGCTCAAGATTCAAAGCTAACTCAACACGAACCTCATCTTGCGTAGACGTTCTATCTAGCGATGCAATCGCAACACGTGTACAGTATATTTGTTAGAAGTTTACATAGTTTTATGATCTTATAATTTTATTAATTTATAATCCTATAAATTTTTAAGTTTTGTAATCTTATAAATTTCGCTTTTTTACTTAAGTAATTACGTTTAAAAAATGACAAGAAGTATGAAAGAATTTTTCTTAAAGATAAAACTTTTGATAGATCTCTTTCCCCTTATTAAATTGTCAAAGTAAGTTTCAAACGATTTGAATAAAGGAAGTTTAATTTGCATCAATTGAACTTCTAAGTATCTAGAAAATGAGGTTCTATTATGAAAGAATGTTAAGTGCAAATAATAAACTTTTATAATTTGAAGTTTAATAAAGATATTTAACATTAAAAATTTAATTTGCAGTCGTTGCGGCTTGACTTGGAGCTCTACTTGATGAAAAATCGGATCCAAATTTGACAAAGAATATACGTATATGTTATTAAAGATAATATCTATATCTTAATTGAAGAATTTTTTAATTTAACTCAAAATATATTTATATCAAAATAGAGTACAGATTTATTTTAATTTAACAATCAATAGCAATAGGCACACAAGTTGAAATATTATCAGTGCTTCTCTTAATTGTGATACAGAGAACGACGTTATCATTAACTGGTAAAAGTGAATTATGGAATAATGATATTATCAATCATTGTACACAATCAAATATATTAAAAATTAAATATTTAAAAAATGCGATTTACAGCAGTGTTGAAGAAGTGAATCTTTACCTTCAATTTGTTTTTTTATTGAGTGTTGTACGTTTTTTTTTAACCGAGTTATTGAACGTTGAAGTAAAAGTGGTCATCCTTCTATTTTTGTAAAATTACTTTTTAGTGTATCAGAAATAATAATAATAATGTGAAAACATTAAAAATAATTAAAAGAATAATTTTCGTTCCTTAAGTTTGTCGCGTCGCATGCTCCAACATGTTCCAATATGCTCCTATCATAACTCTAAGTTCGAATCTACAATAGGTGTTTAGCCGTAAGCCTTAAGCCGTAAGAAATTGACCAATTACAATCGAATTCGAGGAGAACAATCGACTATGATTCGTCCATTTCTTATGGCTTAAAGCTTAAAACTCTATTGTAGATCCGGGGTTACTCACTTCAACGCGTTTGGTAAAGTTAGGCCGGAATCAGACTACGCATTGTGATTGAAGATTGAAAAATTCAAATTTGATCAATCGAAACGAAAGGAGCTAAAATTTCTTTGTCCTTATTGATCAAATTTCAATCTTCAATCTTCAACCTCAATCTTCAATACGTAGTCTGATTCCAATTTTAGAAGGAGCTATGGTAGGAGCATGTTGGAGCATGTTGGAGCTTGCGACGCGACAAACCTAAGGTGATGGATGCGCAGTAGGTTGAAAGTAGTGGGGGGATCTGTCAGCCAATCAAGTTTTGGGCTAATTTGCAGAGATGCACATGACTCGCTGCAAAAAAGCTCAATTTCTGATTGGTCGAGATCACAAATGATGTGACGGGTCCTCCGCCATTATGCGTGTTGGTTTACTTTTCTAATAAGGGCCACTAGCTGCGTTCAGCAGACTCAACAGTTTTGCAATTTTATGATTGTCTGCTGAGATAGGACCATTCTTCTAGATCTAAAAGTATGAACCAATCAGCTCGAAGGAAACTTCCAACAGTTGCAAAACGAACGTTCTGCTGAACGCAGCCACTGTTACAAGCTCAGTTAACTTAACTGGCCAGTTAAGTTAACTGAGCTTGGTGACAGTGGCCCTAATTTCACCATGGGTAGGAGCATGTTGGAGCATGTTGGAGCTTGCGACGCAAACAAACCTTCTGATTGGACGCGGGCATCAAAGCTCCAGAGGCATGAAAGAGATTGATTGGAGAAAACTGATCACGTGACCCCCGTCCTGATTGGACGCGATCATTCACGTGATGCAATTTGCCACTCTCTCTCTTATTCCTTTCAGGCTCTCTAGTTGTGATTATTCGTGAATTGTGACTTGTGAGTGTGAGTCTGTGAGTACATGTTGTGTATGAATATCGAAGGCTCATAAAAAAGATGGGTGATGTATCACAGCAACAACGAATTATAATCCGCAATGCACAGCAGGCTGAACCGAAAAATCCTTCCTTTGTCTCGAAACGCGATCGTATAGCGCAACAATATTATATCGTCAGAAATTGGAAACCATGGAGCGATGTGTACATAACCCCATTACACTATTCTCTATTGAAAAGCTATATTTCTCGATAACATTTTGGACGATTTGTTTCGTCGTTTAGACCCGTTAGAGCGGGTGCGAAGAATTGTAGATACATAAAAAAATTTCCTTCACAGTAACACCCGATAAAACAGTATTTTCTTTCATCTAGATGGCCGTTGATGATTGGACGCGGTATTCTGATTAGCACGACGGTGATCACTAGTCTTTATCTCAATCACCGATTTAGAGCGAGGATGAAGCTCCGAAATTATGGGACACTCCCTACAATGTTAGGTCTCTCAATATCGCCAGCTGCAGTAACAGCTATAGCCCATACGGAGGTATTGGCGGAAAAACCGATTAAATTTCTGTACTGTGCATGACGTCCGAGGGATGTTCTAAAGACGTTTAGAAGACATCCCTATGTCCTTTCTCTAGCTCTGGATGTATCGGAGTAGCGCAATTCTTTTATCTGAGCCAAATGCTAATAACTTTCTCATTGGCTATTTTGATCACTATTTTTGACCTGATAATTTATTGCCCCGATAAAGTAAAATATTGACCTGATAATAATTTATAGTAAGTAAATAATAAATAATACCCAGTAAACAAGAATGGATTGAAATTTTAATCCATTTCAATCCATCCAATGCATACTTGGTAGCATTCATGGTTTATTTTTACTTTTTTCAGATTCAATTGGATGGAAAAACTTTTTTAGATACAATTGGATTGAAAAACTATGTTTCCCCTATATTTAAAGTTTTGAATTGAGCAGTATTCACGATGCGTTTAAAAGACTGAATTTTTTTTTTAATTAAAAGATAGAAATGTGCTTCATGCAAATCCCATAAATAAATAAAAATGCATTGGGATTAAAAAGGATTTATTTCAATGTTCGCGAATATGTACTTCTAAGAATCTGAATCCATTTCAATCCATTTTTCTTTACTGAATAAGTAAGCTCAGTACAAGACTCAGTAAATAAATCTGAATAACCTAGATAGCCTAAATAAACTTAGTAAATTTTTAATATAATATGGTTATCAGGTCAAACATGGTAGGCCCTTGCATTACTCTGGTGCACTTGGAGCTCTATTCTGAATTTCCTAAGTACATTCCCAAGATGTTTCTCGAATAAAGTATATTGTATATGTATGGGTTGGACCAGCAACCCGAACAAGGAGTTTGATAATACAAAATACTATATATATATCTTTCAGTTTATCGTGAATAAGCTATTATTATTAGAGATACCGTGTCCTTTATGCATGGAGTTCAAGTCTGCCTTGATGCAAACTTGTAGCGGAGTGTTTTTGCCACTGATGCTTGTACCATTGGCAAACTTTTCAGTAAGTGACAAAACTTTGCTCTCTATTACTGTTTTTCATGATATTCTCTTTTGATTGGTTTTATCACGTCTTGTATTTAAATCACAGGTTGCTGCTGGCAGTGGAGTATATAGTACGCCACATATAACTGACATAAGAGGAATATTTAGAAGTGTCTTCACACTCTATCAGCCAATGTTTCCCAAAATTGCAATGATTTTCACTTTTCATATGTTACTAGCTGGTTTTATAACGTATTCAGAAATCAAATCTTACCTTCGAATGCTAGATATACAGTATTTAATAATAGAAGAAAAAGAGCAGAAAAATATTTTATGAATTTTATAATATTGTATATAATTGTATTATTGTATTAAAATATATATATATATAAAATTGAAAAATATTTATTAATATTTTTAGTCTATTCTATATTAGATCAATATTTAATAATATTGTAAGGACAACAGAAGAATATAAAATATATTTTGTAGAATATAAAATGTATTTTTATTTCATCATTGACATAATATTATAAGATGTCTAGTTATAATCATTCACTGATATTCACTATACGTCTCGTATATATCTACTTCCTTTTCTCAAAATTAATCCAATGTCTAGGCACCATATGATTTGTTACAATAATAAACGCTTTCCGACTGTTTAAAAAGATCGCTGCTTAAATGTTGATAATACATACGACTTTTCTGATTTAAGAGAATTTTCCATATAATGTTGACTCACTTATTTGATATAAAGTTTAACTTACAAGTTATCGAGTCAAACGTATGTATTATTTCATGTTGTTAAATATAATACGAATTTACTTATAGGCTCAAGTAAAATAGCAAATTCGATATTTTTAATTACTCTGATTAGATACACATTTCATCGTGGAAAAATCTGGAAGTATTTTACACAGGCTTCCAATATTTAATAGACGAGAATTACGACTGAGGTCCAATTACGCTTATTCTTTTATTACGTTAAACAAACTACTTCAACGTCATATAATTAAATTTGGGAACTTTTTGAATTTCTACCCCAGCTTATACAAACGAAAATGTAATATTCTTATTTTACATACCTATATTATACATTTTCTAGATATTTTTAATTAGAAAAAAAAGAAATCTTTCTTCATATGGTTTGGTTTCTAAAGTCAAATTGGGCACAGGTGACCACAGTTTTGATTTGCCAACTACTCTAGAGTTAAGTATATTACTGGCAGTTTACTGGACGTCATACAGGGGCCCGAGTAGCAAGGAGATCCCAGGAACTATGTGTATGCAATAAGAATATATAAAAGATAACACCAGATGCAGACGCATCAATTCAACCAAAGTACAACAATATGATCCGTTTATTCTTTCGGTAGGAGTAGGATTTGTATAATACCTACAATGGTTATGTTGGCAGTGAATGAAATCAGCTATCATATAGCCGTGGAATCTAAGAAGCAAGACAGTTTAATATAAAATATGCCTGAACTTTTTCTCTCTCTCTCTCTCTTCTATTTATATGTGACAATGCTGTTTAACATACCGCGCATTTAAGGTACATACACTGACAGATGTGTTCCAGATGTTTTTCATTTTCTGTGTCATTTCACGAAATGCACGTTAGCCATAATTCAATTGCATCTATAGTACATATAACTGTATTTTTGCTCTTTTCCATATTATTTTTATCTATTTTTAAGTTGGAAAAGATTTTAGCTGATGTCATTATAATGAATGAGTCATTACCATGATTTGCACAGCAATCAACATCACAATGAGATCGTCATTTTTGTTTTAATGTCTTACACCTATATATTATGTCTACACCTATTTTTTGTTAGTGGTGATGTAGTCCATTGCTTATTTACAGTAGAGGTCCCATTCTAAAGTTTATCTACCGATATAGATTATAAAGCAAATCATAATAAAAGTTTTTAAAATTAGATATTGTGACAAATTTGCATCAAGATAGTAGAAATTTAAAAATAATCAAACATAACAATTTAAAAAAATTAAATTATTATTGTTAGTATAAAGAACCCTTTGCTGTAATAAAACTTTGGACTGTAATCTAAATATTTAAAACTTCATTGTAGGAATGGTATAAATATGCAACATTAAAAATTTATACGACATATTTACATGTCACTTTTATGTTTCTTGTACAAGTCTGCATATGTTAATAAAAACAAATAAAAGAGCATGTCTATGAATAAATCAGTATAAGACAGCATTTAATAACAGTAATTGGCTTTCTACAAAACAAGCCATTATTTAAGTTTAAGCCTTAAGCCATAAGAAATTGATTAATCATAGTTGATTATTCTCCTCACATTTGACCGTAATTGATCAATTTCTTATGGCTTAAATTTAAAGCTTAGCTAATGACTTATTGTAGAAAGCACATAAAGGTAGGAAGCACAGATTTTAGCATAACGTATAAGGCATGAGAAAATCAATCAATGAGAATCTTTTATTTCATTACTGAAAAGGAAGAAAATGAAGGACTTTGATCGATTCATTTTTTTTCATTTTTGCATTATGCGTTATGCAAGACTTCGTGCTCCCGCCCTAAAAGACAAATTTATACCATTGATGCAAGGAAATTTTGTTCAACAGATGTTATAATAGTGTTATTGTGTCAAATATTACGCAAATATGAATAATTAACGATTACATTAGATCTTAGAAAGAAAATAACTTTTATGCGTTCTACATAATAGCGCATCTGTACTGCTTTACAGAATATTCCAATTAAATATTTTTCTTTAATTATTAAAAAAAAAATCAAAGTATTTCATTGCTCACAAGTATTTGCTGACAATTTAAATCTGTAATGTAGACAGGCGACTATGATGAATTTGTGCATTATAGAATGAATGGACTAATATAGTCACAATTAATTATAAATAGTATTATGTACTCGGAAATTTTTTGTTACTCTTCACAAATATCAATATGAGTATCTAATGTCCTAGCATGATGGCATAATGGCAAAGCTACAATTGTATAGTATTTACATTATAACGATCAATGGCTAGTCATATGTTTCGACAGCAAACTGAATTTACACTGTTTCTCGCAAATAGATTTTCGTTTTCAGTTCAAATTTAACAATCATAAAATTGTACAATACGAGAACAAGAATCTACCATATACAAATGTTTCTATGCCGACAATATTATTTACGCTTACAACAAATATTTTGGAAGAACATTGCCACCATACTCAAGATTATATTTTCGCGTTTTTTTTTCACATACGAATAAATCGCATAAGAATTAATAATGAAAGAAAAAGAGACAATAAATGCTGCAGTAAACAATCTAAATATATAATCAATTCAAGCAACAGATGATAGTACATAACGGCTGCCTTCAGTTATATTCTTTTAAGCATTTAATTCATTTCTTTGCATTACAAAAGTTTGAATAACGATATAGCGTACTGAAGGATGCGGTATGCATAATTTCATCAGAATGGCGGATAGTTTTGCATAGGTACCACAACCGGAGGAATTGGTGGCAGCGGAAGTGTGTGTATAAATGTGGGGTGATTCGGCTGAACCATAACTAATGTATGCTGTTGATTGGCCATGAAAGAGTTATATTGAGTGGTACTGTATTGTGAGTAAGATGCGTTAACTGTATCTGAAATATTTTTGTAACAAAACGTGCCGGGCGTTTGGCAAGGTAGGGGCCCTTGGATAGGACCCCAAGCCAGCTGCTAGCATCGCCGGTTATGCCAATGTGTCATGTAGTCTTGATAGCTTACAGTAATCTTCTCGCTCTGGTATCGCGTTAGTTTTACACTGCGTCTAATATCCGGTGTAACTAAGCCCTTGTAACCACCCTTATGTAATAGCGAGTCTATAGTTTGTATCTGGTCCCAACCTATTAAAAAAAATGTGTCGATTTAGTGTGGAGACAAAAGCACATATTCAAGAAATATGATGATTAATGGAATAGTTTCATAATAATCTACAGCACACAAGTATATTTACAAACCTTGTTCAGTCGCAACATCAGGTAAGTAAGTAGCAGTTCTCTTGTTGCCTTTTTCATTATGGAACTCTATGCGAATCCCATGGACTCCTATCTCCCAATCTAAGTAGTCCACGCCGTCTTCAAAATGCCGCAATATAGAAACGCTTACATGTAAGCGTGGAAGTTCCTCTCGTGTAATAGGATTAAACCGTGAATCCTTGAAAGCACTGTGAAACAATTGATTGTTTGAAAGTGTAATCTAAAATTCTAGTTTAACCGATTTAGGGCCAGTTGTTCCATCTTCGGATAAATTATGTAATTTACCTACTGGATGAACAAAAGAGTAAAAGAATAAGAACGTAAGAGAATAAAACAGCTTTGAGCTGAAGTTTACCGAAAGGTGGAACTGCCCAGTCAGAATATATATGTTACCTAGTAGTCGCATATTCTCTAAGTCCTGCATGTAAGTGCATGGCATTGAATGTACCAATACAGCCACGTAGTCGCATATCTTTTCCAATAGTCCATGTTACAAACAAGGGACTAGAAAAACATGAAAAAAATGCATTAATGACAAAATAATCACAGGCTTTAAATTTAATTCACAGGACGTTAATTCTCTGTTATGAAAGAATATATGCTACTAAATTAAATTCTCGATAAATTTAATTACGCAAGTACAAAACTGCTAAATAATCAGCTTTTTGAATCAATATTTAAACAATGTTTGTAGTACTATCTCTATGTAAACAGTTTGTTGTAAACATCATTGTAATAAAATGCATCATGCTAGAGTGATCAATAATAATCTCTTCTAAACAAAAGGAGTAAAACAGAGTAAAGTGAAATATAAATAAATCATGGTATAAATCTCTATCTCTAAGATCTAAAATCCAAGGGAACTGAGGAAGTAAAGAGAAACAGATTCCAAAAAAATGTTTACATTTCAGTAAATTATTCAGAAGCAAAACAATGCTGGTGTCTGGCATAACCTCGGTGGAAGGTTAGCAGCACGAGCCAGACGTAGTAGAAAAATTCAAAAAAATAAAACGCATCCTTCAGGAAACATTTTCTTCGCATATCGTCTCTACCCCCTGCTCTTTACTCCGCCACAACGATGGTTGAAGACACAAAAGCACAGTGATGGTTTCAACAAAGAGATGCACTGGCGTGGGTGGAGGGAGAAAAAGGACAGCCATGAAAAGGAAAAAAAAGATGCCACGATGCAGAATGGGCCAAAGAGGGACCTGGGGAGGCGGGGCAACGAAAGCGCGCACGGGAAAGGCACGAGCGCGAGAGAGAGAGATGTGGCACGCGACGCATAGTCGGGACA